TCTTTCGCTCTGGTTGAAAAGATCTACGATGAACGATTGGAGAAAGAGCTGGTGTTGGACTACAATGCATCACCATTGCTCCCTGAGTTCGAGAGATACCGAACGCCGAGCAAGATCATGGAATTGCTTTGCGAAATGCCTCCTGGACCCCACGACACCAGCAAGGAGCAGATCATCCGAGACCTTACGACTGTCCTGGAGTCCCACAGGGAGAACACGGTTCGGCATCACTACATGGACACAGGGATCAAGTTTGTCATCAAGAATTGGCGACCCGAAGACCTACGCAGAGACGAGGATGGAAGGAGAATGAGGGTGTGCCCGGCGTGCTACAACATCGTTCCAGCATGCTTCTCCCGATGCACGTCTTGCTGGTCACAGTTCGTTTCTAGCGGATATTACCAAGGTTCTCCACAACGGGAGACTCCTACGGAGATCCCCAGTGACTTCATTGCTCAGACAATGGAAGCCGCAGCAGCCGCAGTGCCTGAGGCGCCCGAGGAGGAGCAGGAAGCCATGGAGGTAGAGACCGTTGCGGAACCTGAGGAAATCCCAGAACCATCTGTCATCGCGGAGGACGATCCAGAACAGGAACCTGATGAAGAAATGGACATAGAGCCAGGAGAGGACTTTGATGACGCAGTACCAGATGCAGTTGCACAGGAACGCCGTCCCGTCTTCATTACCGGCCGGTCTTTGAACATCGATCCTGAGCTACAACTCGCACGTACCGCCATGCAGCCATCCTACTACTCAGGAAAGCGAAATGCCCATTGCATCGACGCCAACATGGTCGCTCTTTCGTATATGGCTTTCGTGGTGTGCAGGACCATCTACAAGGCTTGGTCAGGCTTCGCGAAGTGGGCTACTATGCCGTTGTTTCAGATGAAGGAGAACTTCGCACTTGGCCAACGCTATGATGTGCTTGGAAAGTGGGGATCATTGGCTATAGTGGACAGAGAGACTGGTGTGAGCAGGGATGTGACTGATGAGGAGATCATTCGCTTTGCCAAGGAACCTGAGAACCTCAAGCAGTATGATCCCAACGGGACTTACACTTTGAAGCGCTTCCGGACGAATCAGATGCTTTCTTTGCTTACGCGGGGAGCCAACATGATGGGAATTGGCAGGGACAACTTCAACCCTACTACGTACTTGAAGAGCAACAGGGATGAAGATGTGAAGGCTATGCACTTTTTGTTGCCTGAACGTCCTGTGCGAGGTGATTCCGATGGTGACAGGACACCAACAATTCTCAGTGCTACGACCAACGCCAACTGGACCGGTGGACTTCTTGTACATCGACCCCGTCGGTATCCTGCTGACTCATGCCGATCATTCAGTCCAAACCATCGGATTGCTGGTGGACCACAATGTGCAAATGCCTGCGCATTTCATGGACAGATTGAACAGATCCAAGGCTGAGAGACAGCAAAACCCGACGACCAAGCGTACTGAAGCCCTACACCACATTTCGGCCGCTGACTATCTCCCTCCAGGTGGTACTCCCATCCTGGACACGCCTGTCACTACGGAGGAACGTGCAAGCGCTTCTTCGGCCAAGGGACCTTCAAAAGGGCGTGAGAGAACCGGAGGTGAACAGCATGGAGGCTGGAACGCCAACACCTACTATGACTACACCGCCGGCAAAGGCCGAAACAAAGGCAAGGACAAAGGAAAGCAAAGGGAACAGTATCCAGAGGAAAACCTCCGGCCCCGGGACCGCGATCCTGCGACCACGCGAAGATGGAGATGAATCAACGCTTGGTCTTCCTCGCCTATCAGTTCGTGACCTCTGAGCTTCGCCCATGGAATGACATCGCGAATGCTTCTTTCTTCGGTGACGCCTGATTCGTTTGCCATTTCAGGGGATCGTTACTGACGTAGATGAGTGTCACAACGTTTCTAATTGGGATGCAAAGCTCTGATTTTCAATGTCAACGTTGCCGCGGAACATTTTCTGTTGTCCTATCGTGCCATCTTCCGGGTGAGCAGCGTCGGAGACGCAACTCATGGGGGGTGCGAACGGACTGCGATGCCTTGTCAAGTTCTAAGGTGTCACTATAAGAGCTGTGAGCAAGACCGTTTAAAGTGCAAGAGAAGGGGGCACGCTACGCGTCCCTCGACTCTAAGGGGGCACGCTACGCGTCCCTCATCTTTACCTTTCTATGTGACCGCCCACGCAACGTTTGGCTCAAGTCAATGCCCATAGCTAAGTGCTATAAGTGTCTTCTATCCTGGGCAATCAGAGCTATCCCGTTGCACAGACGAACCGCCGCCGGCAGTGAGTGCAAAAGGAACGGCCGCCGGTTCTGCCTGCATAGGATTGCACGTGTGGAAGTGTGAGAGAGACAGGGTCCAGTCTGTGGAGAGTGCAAGCCAGCCACACCTACATTCATTACAGCTCTGGTGGGGAGAGCAGCAACCTAGTCGAGATCAATCCCCCACGCATATTATATTATATTATTATATGTATGTATATATGTATATATATATATGTATGTATATATATATATATGTCTCGTCGCATGCTGCTCGTGCGGTGGTTGCACTCGATTTCCCACCCACCCGCCTGGCTGCTAAACTGCTACTTGTAGCAAACAATGTATGCTATATCGGCCCTATTGACCTGCACTTGGGTTCACCATCAGCCGGTGCCTGTGGGCTTTACAACGCGTCGCTTTCATAGAGTAAGACATGACCAATGTGAAGATGTGCATAGATACGTATACATACCTATCTTTGCACATACACATACAGTGCATGTACTTCTATGCTGCGTTTTGGAAGGCTCCCTGGTACTCTCGACGCACGTCTTGAACATTGCCCAAATGGCATGGTTGGACCTCGATTCAGATTCAGTGCCCTAGTGGACAATACATGCCCGTGGGATCCCGTGGATACTAGTCGTGCGTGTGCACACGTGATGTTTTTGCTCATGCAAGCAACGACATAAAGGCTCCACTAGAATGTGTTCGACTTTCCCTACGCAATGATCCAAGGCATGCGTTTGGTTTAGTTATGTTCATTTTGTATCCCGTTTGTGCTGCTTGTTCGTAAAATTGAAACAAATGCTTCTGCATACACCATCAGTGCAAGATCGGACTGTTCCTTCAATTGTATCCATGCATATTGTCTTGTTTTGTCGCGACATAAATGCACTGCTTAATGACTGTCGGTGTATATAAAAGACGTAGGAACTTGACTAAAAAACCTTGGGTGGGTTCTTTATATGAGTCTTATTCTTTGGGGGGTTATATGGCCAGGGTTTCTTCGGGTTCTTACGTTCTCAGCTAAGTTCATCATCCACGAACATAGGAAATGCACCTTTATTGGCACACATCCGCGGAAAGGAAAATTGCCGGATATTGAGACGGCTATGTAGTTCTACAATGTTCTACATATGCTCTACCTGCAGAACAGGATGTATCGATATGTCCAAGACGGTATCTGTGAATCTGCCTGTTTTACGCGATGCTGACAATGCCTGCACATGCTTGCAAATGTGTTGAGTACATGCCAGAAACCGCTCTTTTTTGTAACATAAGCTTGATACGCGGCCCAAAGCAGTGCTGCACTGTCATGTATGTATATATGTATATATATATGCACATGCACATAATCAGACGTACATAAATAGTACGTATTGCATACAACCGTTTATTGATATGGCTATGACGATCCACAGAACCTTTAGAACTCAATGTGCCCACATGTTCACATTCATACACATGTACATCTCCATGTACCTGCCGCTCCGTCCATCTTGGGGAATATGGACAATGCTGCATACATGTACATGGGTGTAAACACCTTTACGAACAATATAGATACAAGGAAGTCAACCAGACAAAACTTGCTTAAGCCACCCGACAAGCTCAAAAAGAAATGACTAGAAAGCAAAAGAAACACATATGTATGTGTGTACATACATACACATACATAAATATGTCATAGTATGATCTACATAAGAAGGGGCTGTAAACTTTGGGTGGTTTGGTCTGTTGTTGCTTGTGGTGTTTCGGTGTGTTGTTTAACTAGTTGTATTCGGGTTTCTTTTCGCGATGTTGAGCTGCAAGAGTGACTTCTGGTTGTTATCTTTTTCGTTATGTTGTGTGTTCATCTTCATTGTAACAACTTCCCTCCTGCAAATTCGCACTTTGAGCTTCTTGTTCTTTTCCGGTATGCTTTCTCTCCCCGCTTCTTTCGGAACGTTATGCTTCGTAGTGTATTAGTACACAAATATCTGGAAACATGGGTCGATGGTCGGCTTTGATACTCACAAGTATAAACAAACATAAAGATATTATGCTCATACATACATGTGTATATATATACACATATATATGTATATATATATATATATATATATATGCACGGCTACTGTGCCGGGAGGGTTCAGTAGCTGCCGAAACTCTAGAAGCCTCGCCTGCTCTGCCGGGGGCGAGTGGTGGGAATGTAATACACACATGCCCATAAAACATTGAGCTTTGTGCATCTGCTCCTCGAAATCCTTCCTCATTTAGTAAGCAAGGGCTCAGATGTGCTATCGGAGGCTACCAACATGCGAGAGCTCCCTTACGTTTCATATTTCACGACGTGACATCTGCGGCGAGGTGGGGACAGATCTGTTTACTTGTAACGGCAGCCTGGGCGCTTGTGCATCCTGGTTCCAAAGCTTGTCACTACTCCGCTCGCTGCCGCTGTGGCGGCTGCTGCCAGCAATTTGATTGCAGTTGTGGACAGTGGGAGGGACCTGTGGGGTGAAAGTATGAGAGGCTTCTGAGAGTTTTGCAGCCCGAGCCTCAAAGGTTCTGTTGGTGGCTTGGCAAGAAGTGAAGGGGGGCTTTCTCGGAAGTTTCGTTGCCCGAAGCTAGTGAGCATTCTTCTTCAGACACACGGCACCGCACCGAGAGGTGGAGTCCGCCTGATTAGATGTTTCGTAACTACGATGCAAGGTAGATCATGGCAGTCAAGAGGTCGCATCTGGTGAAACGAAGGATCGCTTCAGCCTTTCCACAGTCATCAGCTCCTGCGACGGAGTCTGGAGCCTTGCTACCTCTCTGCTGCATGTGCACTCGCCACATCTCCGAAATGAGGCGCTTATGTGCTGGCTGCCACTCGCATGACAACTCATCGTCATGCCTCGGGTCACCTAATGTTGCAGGTGGGCTATGGTGCAGCGATCAGCGCTTGCGAGAAAGGCTCCGAATGGAATTGGGCTTTGGAGCTTGTGTGTTGCATGGCGGTTGCAGCCCTGGTGCCGAACACGACCTGCAGCTTGACTGTGTTTACCAGTGAAGCTTTGTTGACTACTGCACCCGCCTAAAAACTCAAGCTTGTCGACCCGACAGGTCACTGCTGTCAAAACAGGCTGCATCATGTTCAACCCCACGCATCAGAAATCAGGCTGCAACTCGGCGATCTCTGCGTGCGAGAAGAAAGGCTTCAGCTGGCTGCAAGCTCTCAAGGTGTTTGAGGCTTGGAGGGCTGCCGTGCAAGACCGAGAATGGGCAAACTCTTGACTTCAGGCGATGGCCTCCTTGCGGATCAAGCGAGCCTCGGCTCGACATTACTCTTTGGCCGTTGCGGCCACACAGAAGATCTACATCAAGGAAGATCTCTTCTAATCATGGTTGGGCTATATCGCACTAGGACCGCAGACACAGATGCCCGGCACATGTGGATCGAGGCGACGAGACCTCGCTCAATGCCACAACGAGCTCCTGCGAGAAGTCAGCCCAATGGCTTCGAGCAGCTTGCTCGCAGCAGGAATTTGAAATCCAAAGTGGCGCCTTTGTAGACAAGACGAGAGAACGGTGACTTCCATGTCTGGCACAGCTCTCCAAGAACTGAGCGATGCATGTGCTGTGTATAATTGTGTCTATAAATACGGCCTCGTCGTGCGCTGCTTCTCTCAGTGAGCATGGCCTTTGAGGCAGTCCTTCTGCTGCCATTCCTGCCAGCTCTGTCACCCGCACCTGTGGCCTGGCATGTGAGGAAAAGAACGACATGTTTCACATCCGCATGCAGAAGCGGGGGTCATGAGCTCTTGTTGTTTGCTGGTTCTTAAGATGGCACGATGGCACGAGCTGGCACTGTCAACAGTTGCTGTACGTCGGCTGAGGTAGAACCCATGGCGCACAACGCTGCTATTTGCGCTTGCTTCCAAGGACAGTAGAGGGAGTTCGGTGACAAATTGATTGAGCTGAGAAATCTAGCAGTCAAGGCTCGCTTCGCATTGCAACATACTTCCGTCCGGGTCAGGACGGTGCAGTTGGCATTTGATGCTGCACCTCGCATACTCTTGAGCCACAGCGACATCCAGCTACAAAATTTCGACCCGAGTCGTCCTTCGCAAAGGCTACTCAGGGAAAAAAACGGCTCAGGCAACTGCTTGCAGAGATCCCTCGCCTTCGGATGGTGGCTACAAAGGCGTCCCCTGCTCCCAGGCATCAAATGCATCCCGCCCTTACAAGCAAAGTAAACAGGTGTCCCTGGACTCCCTGGTTTCTGCAACTGCTGCAGCCGGGAAGTGGCGCCATGCTGCAGAAATACGCTGCGGCATGGAGATGCTCGGCACAAAAGTTTCACGGCGTTTGATGTCAACTTGTGAAGCAGAAGCTTCTCGCAAAAGTGGTTGGGGTTGTGATCAGTTTTGTCTTCGCAGGCGACCTCGAAGTAAGTGTGTGTGTGTGAGAGAGAGAGAGAGAGAGAGAGAGAGAGAGAGAGAGAGAGAGAGAGAGCCCGTCTTTTTGACGATGTCTGATCCGCCCTTCTACAACAAATTCGACACCCCTGACTGCCTGACAGCAGGAGGGGGAATTTAACCGGCTTTTTCATGCCCTCCCGAACCCACTATAGGCTAAGGACTGATAGCGACAGGGGCGCGGGGACGAGGCGGGGGGTTGTGTTTGTGTTTAGTGTTCGGGGGGGCTGTGGCTGTGGTTGCGGCTGTGGTTGTGGGATGCCCGGCTTTTTTGCTTGTGAACCCAAAACACACTGGGTAGTACAATGCCATAATCAGGAATACCCCAGATGCCAACCACTCCATAACACAGGGGGTGGTTGGGCGGGCCGAGTGCCTTGGGGTCGCATGCGACTCTTGCCCAGCACAAAGAGAGAAACAAAGAGAGAGAGAGAGAGAGAGAGAGAGAGAGAGCTCACGTGGGTGACACTGTGCGGTGGATACCTACGACAGTTGTCGGAGGAGCGGGCCTGTTCTTGGAAGTGCATGTGGTAGAGAATCCGAAGTGTTCGTGAGTAGCTGCACTCAACATCACTCAACTCGCAAAGTTTGTGACAGGGTAGAGCGGCGAACTTTGAACATGAAAGACTGTCGTCTAGGTTTTACCAGGAGAGAGGCAGTATTTGCTGCAGCGCCTTTGGGCGGATCCCAGCACAAGCTCCCATTCCAGGTTTTTCAAGCCGACAGAGTCTGTGAATGCAGACGCTTGAACCTATGAGAAAGAGCATGTTGCGAACTCAGGAAGGAAGTTGGCTGCACGGCATTTTCTTACGAGGCCTGGTATGTCCAAGACTCATGTCACACAGCCCCGTGTATGCATATGATGAGAACGACCACTTGTGCCAGCACATGCTCAGCACATTTGTGCGTCGAGGGTCGGCCTCGGCCATTTTTCGCACCGAAGGGGGTGGAATCCAGAGTTCAGGTATCCAGAGGACAGAAGTCGCGGTTGTACGCAGACGAGAACGACTGCGTTCCCACCACTACTACCGCTACTACCACCACTACCACTACTACCACTACCGCCACCGTTACTGCTATCAACTCCACTGCAGCTGCTGCTACGACTAGTGGGTTGATTACCGCAAAAATGGTTTTCCGTCAGCCTCTCGATCTGAGTGACAAGATGCTGAATGCTGTTCTGAATTTGTCCAACAAAACTTGCGATTGAATCCTGTTTCATTGTGCTTTAGGTTGCATCGCGGTGATTCAATCCTGCCGCTCTCCGGCTCGGGATGACGCAAAGCTTCAAAACAAATTTTTGCAAGAGGCGGAAAAAGAAGGCCTTCGCATTCGGCTCATGTATTGCGGGGTCTTGCAGCGGTTCGCCCCACTCTACACTACACCCTCACACCTTCAATCTTTCTTTAAATCAGGAACCAACCCAAGACGATCACTCGCACAGGATCGAGCCGGACGAATCCAGCTCTTGTTGGGAAGACTTGGATACCTCCTCTGTCGGAAAGGGAAAAGCTGTTCCAGGTCCCTCGGGACTGAACTTCATGCCCTCCGTTGGACTCCCTGCCCTTGACAAGCTTGGCCTGGCAGAGGATGCCAGGCTGGTCCTGCGGCTTTGGCTGGGGATCTGCAAAGACGGCCGCTTCGTCGTCTCCATGGCCGACGTCTCCACTCCCATCGCCACCTCAATTGGGGAAGCTGTCCGTGAAAGTGTTGGGGCTGGTGTTGCTGAGCCACTTGCAACAGTTCGGCATGACCGTGATTTCAGCGACATCACTGAAAACGGACTCCCAACGTTCGAGGCGGTCTCTTCATCTCGCAGCTGCTGGATATATAACTGCAGAGGCGTCGGCACAAAGATCTGTTGCGCAGTTGTCATGCATGAAAGCTACTTCAATCGGCAAGCGTCAGCGGGCAATATCTTGACACCTCACAAATTCTGCGACTAGAGATCTGCACATTACAAATTACAACAACGGGCAATTGCGGCTTGCTGTTCGGATCGTACCATTGAACCATAGGTGCTTGAGAATTGCCTGCTAGCGTGGCCCGCAATGCGGGGGCAGAATGGTCTTGGGAAGGCATTACAGAGACGTGAAAGCCAGCTTCACAACTCTCAATGCAGATAGGCAAGCAGAAATGCGGCGTTTGAATTTCTAGTAAAGCTGGCAGACCAAACAATACAAAGGTTTTCAACATGTTGCTTAATGAAGTGTAGCTAGACGGATTCAGGCTGTATATGGGCAACCCTATGTTTCAAATGACCTCCTGACCCATGAACGGGGTGACGTTGGTGGGAGTACCAAGTCATGGTCATGGTTTGCCGGCATTGCTGGCGGCCGCTGGGCGGCCGGCACGAGGGGTTTGCCATTGGGCACACACTGACGGGGCGGTGGCGGTGGTGGCACAAGTTGGCGATGTCACAGGTCGGTGGCACACGAAGGATTTCTTGTGCGCAAAATAACGCTGGTTGGTGTGATATGTAGTGTCGCAAGCTGCGTTCATTTAGGGTGCGGAACTGGTGGAACCACCACCAACTTGTGACATCAGCATTTCCTCTGTGCTCAAAACGTGCTTCGCGCCATCGACTTGTGACACTAACTTGTTCCTGAAGCTTACAGGTAGGTGGAGCCCGTGCCGAGTAATGTGGGCAGGTAGGGTGTGGGGTGAGGTGGTGGGGTCGGATCGGACTCGGAGCCCAAAACCAACCCAAACTCACCCAACCCCTCTCTTCGACCGCAGATGCAGTTGGTCTCAAGGATGTCATGAGGGGGAGGCCAAACCCCCAAACCCAACCCCCCGATACTGTATCGGCTCGAGATATGCGGGTTGGGTTGAGGGATTTCCATCCCGAAACACCACCACAAACCTGTTTACCTTTTCGTCTCGATGTTGGGGTATTGGGTTCAAAAACCACCCAAAATCAACTCCCTGCTCGGTTCGAGATCAGGGGAGTTGGTTCATCAGCTCTTGCCCGATACCCGATCTCCGAGCGCACTTCGAAGCCACCCCGCCTGAGACCCAAGAGGCAGCCTGGCCCAGAAAAAGCTAGCTTGGAGGCCTGGGTTCCCGTTATAACGCTAGGGCCCATAGGATGCAACTTCCGCACCTCTTGCCTCTTGTGCAAAAAAGGCGAACCAATAGTGACATCCGTGTGAATCCTCAGCCCAGCCAAACAGGCTGAACTCGTAATCGGAACGTACCAGCAGACCGACACGAAGCAATGACTCTTGCACTACTGGCGTTTGACTGGGGACCTCAACACATGGCCAATGAAGAAACTATCGCGCATTTGCAGGAATGCTAGGAGGGGGCCAAGAGCCAAGAAAATAGATCTCAAGTGGCGGAGACCAACAGCATCACAGCTGGAAGTGCTGGGACGTGCACCTAGCTTGCGATGTTCGAGTTGTGCCTCAGCCTGCGGTGTTGGACGCAGCTCCCAAGAGAAAGAGCCGCATAGATCGGACCGCACTTGCCCGACTCGCGGCTGGTCCGGAGAACAAGCACCCCGTCGGAAGAGCAGCACGGCCAAGTGCTGAGGCCACCTTGGGGGCCGCAGTGGGGGCCACTGCGTGGCATGTGGCTTCTGGCCTCATGCTGGAGGCTGGACAGGACAAAGGGTTTTTTTTCAAGAGTTGGTAATTGCGAAGCTGGTCGTTTGTGGGCTTGCGTTCTCCTGCCAGGTCGCTGAGCTTGTCAGCCAGGAGATCGCTACAGATCTTCATCGCACGACGGGACGAGCCAGAAAAATGCATGTCTGCTGCACATAACCTGCTGCTTTGGCTGGCACCTGGTGACCTGGTGATAAGGCTATCACAGAACCTCAAGCGAGAGAACTGCATGTCCTGCATGAGTCATTTTCCACAAGTTGCCTGTGCATGCTTGCAAGCAGTGCGGGAAGGATTGCCTCGACCACTAACTTGC